GGCGTAGGAAAACAGGTTTTCGCTAGTCTCGTAGGTCTGTCCAATTAGATGGACGGTGATCCTCATAAAACAAGCCACCCTTGTCAGTGGCCTTTCAAACTCAACGAAACAAAACCTTAAATGAAATTGAAATGAAAATGATTGCTTTAAATTCATTCTCTCTCTCTATCACTCACCCTCACAGGGCCACTACAATCAGAGCTCTCTCTCTCTCTAACCAGAGCAACACTGGAGACATTCGGTCTCATACTCGCTCATCAAACCAGGTATGCTCCCTATGTACCTCTTTTTTTTCACGGTTTTTTTTAAGGCTTCTCTGAATCTCCCTCTCTCTCTCTATCTCTTATATTTTTAGGGCATCTCAGGTTCATCCTCTCTATCTCAATGATTTTTGGGTTTACCGGTCTCTCTCCCGCTCAAAATTAAGCTCTCTCTCTCTATCTCTATATTTGGGTGTTTTTATGTAGGTTTAGGGTATCTCAATTTCTTTCTCTCTCTCTATTTCTCGTTATTCTCTCTCTCTATTTCTCAATAGTTTTTGGGATTTTTTTGAAGGATTTAGGGAATTTCATTCTCTCTCTACCTCTTTTTTTGAGGCATTTTTTGTAGGGCATCAATCTCTCTCTCTCTATCTCTTTTTTTTGGGATCAAGCAACTGAACCTTTGGTCTTGTATTGGAAGGTTTATGCTAAGAGGCTCTGATTATGCCTTGTTATCCTCTTTCTTGACTATGCTTGTATTAGCAGCAAAGTGAAAATATGTATTAGCAGCAAAGTATAAACATTAGATCTCTTACTATGTCCATTTTCGAGAATCGAGACCTTGATTATGCCTGAATTTAGACCTTGTTATCCTCTCTCTTGAATATGCCTGAATTTCTACCATACCTTTGATTATTCTGTACAGCTAAAAGGAGAAATCTGAATTTCATAGTAATATGAGATTATTTTGAATATTTGGGAAAAAAAAAAAAGATAAATATTTTGGGTATTTAGAATAATCTCTTGGGATTAGTGTACTAAATGTGATGATTTCGGATATTAGGAAACCAATCAAGACGAAGTTGATATAGTTTCAACTGGTGTTCGCAAAATCGAACCGGAACGGTTAACCAGTCATGAGCCTAGGAGCGGTTCGAACCAGAATCGGACTAACCGGGGCGGTTTACCGGATTAACCGGTTTAGTAGATTTTTTTTTTAAAAAAAGTCTAAAACCCTCAAAATATTTTAAAAAATAAAAAAATAGAAAAACTTAGATTAGACTATATATAAGTCATTTTTCTTTTTTCTTTCATCTTCTAGACTGGTCATATATTAGTCATTT